AGCACTATTTTTGTTTCCACAGTAGTGGAATCAAATAAGGAAAGTCTGATTAATCATGAGCTTAGTCCCTGTAATATTTGAAACCTTCATGATAAAAACATCTAGCTTTAGAATTTCAGACATTCACTCATCAGATGTTAATGCCTGTGTGCAAGGCATTGATGAGTAAGACATAGCCCCTACCTTCAAGTAGCTTAGAAAAACAAAACAGGTACTTTATTTCAAGAAATAAAACATTCTTCCCTATTCGGAATAATTATCGTAAACAGAATACTATGGGAGTTTTGAGACAGAGATTATCTCTAGCTGGGGGAATGTAGAATATCACAATCTATTTTGTTAGTTGGTAATGAGACTTTTTACCAAAAAAGAGCTTCTGCAAAAGGAAGAATAGATTTCAAGGATTTTCAAGTACTTGATATTATATAACTAACATTTATGTCATTTTTTATAATAAAAAATATTTTTAATCTTTTTAACAACTGCTTTTCTGTTCTTTTGTCTATAGACTTTTTTCATAAATATTTTATCTAGTTTTAAATATTGTTTGTAACCAATGAAATATTTGAATGCTCAATCTGATCCTAACACTTTATTCACATTGCCCTCCCCCAAAAGTTAACCATTTACCAGTAATGATGTCATTCAATATCAATTTCCTACCAAGACACCTTTAAATAAGTAGTGGGCAGGGATTTATTTGACCTTTAGTTCAACCACATAAATAATTTAAGATACAACTTTAAAGATAGTGCTGATTTTATCAGCTATTTAGAGAAAATGGACTTTCTCTTAAAATTTCCTAAAAGGGTATATGAAGATGTAAAATATTTGAGTATAAGAAATATTTATCTGCATTCCTGTCTTACTGTTCTTCAGTAAAATTAAAGTAAATATTATGAACTTGGTTGGGTTAAAGTCAATTTTCCTTGGCTCTTTGTCCTTTTTTCCTTTTTTTCCCCCTTCCCTTGCAGTGAAAATACACATAACAAAACCTTGCCCAATTCAACAGTTTCTACATGTACATTTCAGTGACACTGATCACATTCTTCATGTTGTACAGCCTTTGTCACTATCCTATTCCAAATTGTTCTACTACCAATAACATAAACTCAGTGCCCCCTAAGCAGAAGCTCCCCCTTTCCTCACCTCTGGTAACCACTCATAATCTTTGATTTTTATGTAATTATATCTTATATGTTTACTTATGAGATCATACAGTATTTGTCTTTGCAGCTGATTTAATTTCACTCAGCATTACTGTTTTCTAGGTTCATCCAGGTTGTGGCATGCATCAGAACCTCATTCCTCTTTATGGCTGAGTAATATTACATTGCATGAATATACCATATTTTGCTTATCCATTCATCTGTTGATGGACTTTCTGGTCCTTTGTATTTTGAATGAACACATAGTAGTAGATTCAAACACAGAGGGTCTGAGCCAAACAGAATAAAACTGAAGGTAATAGTAATAACACATTACTCAGTAACACAAAGAAGAAACTTTAGAGCCATCAATGATTCTAATGTTGAGGCACTCAACAGGTACTGCCAATTTTATCTTCTAAATAACTCTTCAACCCAATTGCTACTATCATATTTCAGATATACCCTCATCTTTGTCCACAATAACCTGTCAGTGGGTCATTCTGATTTCTTTTTTCAATCTGTCCACTGCCACCAGAATTCTTACTAAAAATGCCTGTCTAATCATGTGATTCCCCTGCTTAAAAACATTAATTGATTGTATGTCACCCATAGGATGAAATCCAAACCCCTAAGTGTGCTCTGGCTGTTGGTTCTCTTTGTAAAGAGTGGATGTTTGCTCCATTATACTGGTGATTTTTAACAAGCCCTTTCTTCTCTTCTGCTACACCTTTGGACACACTGTTCCCTTTCTCCAGAATGTTCAACATTTCTCCCTTCCCCTCATCTCTCTCTCCACCCTTTTGCTTCATTAACTCTTTTTCCCTCTGACATAGTGCCAAAAGGGCATGGGGTAGCATCCCTGACCTCCTCCAGCCTCACAAAGGGGCAACAGAGTCACCAACAATAACCCACGGCTTATTCCTATGAGGCCAGACATGCCACTGCTCTCTAGCCATTACACAAACCGTCCCTCCCACAGCACTCACTACTTCTCTGTTGGGTTCCATAATTCGTTGCAGTGGCCACACAGAACTCACAGACAATACTCATATTATGGGGTTTATTAGGGAAGTAACAGGCTACAGCTCAGCGTCAGGAATGCTCTCAGGATACAGTTCTTCAGTCAGGACAGTCTTCCCTCTGCTGTGCCTTCAGACATGCCTTTCTGGCCCTTGACCTTTTGGTTTGGCCTCTGCTCTGCTTAGGAAAGTGTTAGAAAGCTCTGGTAGCATAGTGGCTAAGGCACTTGACTGCTAACCAGAAGGTTGGCGGTTCAAATCCACCAGCCACTCTCCGGAAGGAAGATGGGGCAATCCACTTCCGTAGTAACACTCCCTCGGAAAACCCAAGGAGCGGTCGCTATGATTCGGTCCGACTCAACAGCACATAACAACAACAATAGGTGCACCCCACTCCACCAGCAGGCCTCCTGCCCAAAGGCACTCAGCTTTTTCCCTCTGCCGGGCCGGCAGGCCTGCTGCTCTGTCTCATGTCTCTTGGTTCCACTGCTGCCATCTCTCAGCCTGGTGTCTCTGCCAAGGAGGTCCAGGGCAGGAATCTCAGATCCAAGGACATGCTCTGCTTTGCTCCACTCCATGTCTGACTATTCTCTCTTGATAACAGTGAGATTCCCTCTTCTGCCTCTAGGAAGGCTCATTTTAAGCCTAGCAGCATAGCAAAACTAACCAATCATCACATTACAGTTCCATACACCTTGTGTGCATGGTTCCACCCAGTAATCTGGTAGAAGTCTCAAACACTGGCTAAAAAACCCGTACTTAGTAATTCACTGTACCACACATAGGTATTCCTCATTCTTTTGCTCTTCTCAGTGCTTTATGGTGAATTTTGTTAATGTTTTCCTCCATTCTATAGTCTTAATAATTTGTGTTCTGTTGCTTCACGTTCTGTAAAGTACTTTAAGCCAGTGTTTTCAAAAGAGCATTTGAAATAATAAAACCAAAAAACCAAACTCACTACCATTGAGTCAGATCCGACTCATAGTGACCCCTCCTTGAGTTTCCGAGGTGGTATCACTACAGAAGTAGATCGCCCAAACTTCCTTCCAAGGAGTGGCTGGTGGGTTTGAACCGCCAGCCTGTTGGTTAGCAGTCAAATGCCTTAGGCACTACACTACCAGAGTGAGTATCTGTTAATATGCCTGGCACTTGGTCAAAATCTTCACGGTAACATTATGAGGTGGGACTATTATTCTCTTTTTACAGTAGAAGAGACTAACATTTCCAAGCTCTCACTGCTTAGAAGTAGCCAGGTGAGATTCAGAGGATCTCTTCTCTATACTGCACTGAAAAAGCCGTCTGTGTTACCCCTTCTGAATGTTGCTTGCATTCTAACAGAGGACAAGGCTTCAGTCAATGAAACGGATATCTAATTGTAGGAATTTAGAAATCACTAGGAGCTCTCGTGGTATAGTGCCTAAGGCATTTGGCTGCTAACCAGAAGGCTGGCAGTTCAAACCTACCAGCCATTCCTTGGAAGGAAGGTTGGGCAAAGTTTTTTATTTGAGTGAAAGACATCTTTACACCTCTGAAATAAAAATACTTTGTTAACTACCTTCCTTGTAAGCACACTGTAGTGTATTTAGTGATTTTCTTTTCCTTCAAAATTTGGATAATAAAAGAGGGCAAATGTGCTTATGTTTTAAGTCACTTAATTGACATATAGTTAAAGAACAATAAACTACCCATGTTTAAATTATACAATTTGATAAGTTTTGAGATTTATTTGCAACCTAGAAAGCATCACAATCAAGATGATGAACATTTCTACATCCTCATTTCCCACTCACCTTACACCCCTATAACCAATGATGTACTTTCTTTCATTATAGATTAGTGTACGTATCCTGAAGTTTTATGTAAATGGAATCATGCGGTATATGCTCTTTTTGATCTGACTTCTTTCGCTCAGCATTATTGTTTTGACATTCATCCATGTTGTGTGTATTAGTTCTTTCTAAGGTGCATATTTGAAGTAAATTTGTTATGAAACAATGCAATGCACTGCCATTGAGTTGGCCCCGACTCATGGTGACCCCTTCTTGGGTTTCCAAGGCAGTATCACCACGAAAGTAGATTGCCCAACCTTCCTTCCAAGGAGAGGCTGGTGGGTTTGAACCACCAGCCTTCTGGTTAGTAGTCAGATGCCTTAGGCACTACACCACCAGAGCTCCTAAATTTGTTATGGAAAATAAATTATTTTCTTTTTCCTCCATTGTGTCTTATGCTTTAGAAAAAGGGTTTAGAAGTGACTGAAAATTCTCTTGAACCTAAAGTTTCTTCTGGGGCTTGTTTTGATAGACTATGTATAAGCCCTTTAAGATTCCAATATAAATAACTTACATATGTTTAAATGCTTTTTTATTTTCAATAAGAGATCTTTACTTCACTGTAGAGGCTGATGTAAAACCAACCAGTTAAATTACATTTTACTCACTTTTGGAATACAATATTATGCTTCTGAATACTATCTTCCTAGCCTCTCTGGGGAAATCTTGGGGGAAAACCCTTCTAGTTGGTCTCATGTGGGAAGTGGGTATCTCTGAAGTGGTTATCTCAGAGCTTCACAATGGCATCAACTATAGATATTAAATGATAAAGCCTAACAAAAGCTATGATTTGAATGACTTGTGCTAACATTCTATAAGAGCTCGCTTTTAATGGGTAAAAAATATGTCCCACCCAATCTTGGATAATTAGATTTCAGCCTTGTTATTTCATATTGAAAGGAAAATTTTTTAGTTTACTGTTATGAAAAAGCAAAATGGTTAAAATTCATTATTACTGCTATCCTAATCTCACTCCTCCTTTCTTTTTCTTCATTTTTCAGGTGGGTGTAACCCATATATAGAGATCATTGAACAACCCAGGCAAAGGGGCATGCGATTTAGGTACAAATGTGAAGGGCGATCAGCAGGCAGCATTCCAGGGGAGCACAGCACAGATAACAACCGAACATACCCATCCATCCAGGTAATAGGCCTTTTCCTGTGTGTGTCTCACCTTCAGTTGCTTCATATTTTAGCTACATTAAAGACCCAATTTCTTCAGGTCATCTCCATAGTCTTTATTCGCCTTTTTTTTTTTTTTTTAATTAATTGATTTATACTAGATAGCTAGATGTCTAGAGACATTTCTGAAGTATAAGGTGGATTTTTCACTCCTGTAGATAAATCAAGCCCCTGTGTGGTGCAAACAGTTAACATGCTCAGCTGCTAACTGAAAGGTAAGCTGTTTGAGCCCACCCAAAAGTACCTTGGAAAAAGGCCTGGTGATCTACTCCTGAAAAATCAGCCATTGAAAACCCCATGGAGCACAGTTCTACTCTGACACATGTGGGGTTGCCATGAGTCAGAATTGACTTGATAGTAATTGGTTGATTGGTACATAAATCATTAGGTATTGTACATTGTATATTAAATCTAAGCAGAGTGACTCAGTGCTTAGTGTACATTGGCAGCTTTAAGATCATGATCCCTTTCATGGAACACAGAGCTAATAAGGAAAAAGCATTGTCTTCTTCCAGATGTGAACAGAATTGTTATGTAGATTAAAAATATGGGTTCAGGAATTCAATTAGAATTATTCTTCTTCACTGCAATCACTTGACTTAACCTAAAGGTTATGGGAAAGGAGATAATTTTTCTCCTCTTTCCTTACCTTTATTATCAGCCCCTGATACTCTAGGTCTTGCACTGACTGGTTTGAAATATTGTCACTTGTCAAACACAGTTTTTTCATATTAATATAAATTTAAAAGTAGATCCAAATATAAATTTGGTAACATGCTTATTTATAGTTATACATAAACTGTGTTTATATTTTATATGTTTTATTTGACTTTTTCATAAATCTTTTAACCTTTAAATGCCAATTAAAACCTTAAGGCAGAATGGGTTCTGAAAAGTATTATTTAATCTTTCATCAATAGATTTTAAATCACTTTCATAACTAGATTATTTGCAAATCTTATTTTATTGAGTTTAAAGGGAATTGCTAAATTATAGAATAAACCATTGGCAAAGTTATGTATTGAATTCGAAATTACTAATTGTTATCACATATTTGGCAGCAGTATGGATTTGGATTATCTAAGTCCTTTTATTTAAGTGTTAAAATGTGAGAAATGCCAATGAAATGTAAATAAGAAAATATTCTTCCAGTCCTTTTAAGAGTTATATTTAACTGTTCTCCATAATTCAGCTCATTTTATGAAATATTTCTAAGATCTGCTATATCCTTTCCATTCCAGTGGGTCCTGAATACTTCACGGCTTGAGTTCCAAATCATCCTATCTTAGTCTTGAGTTGCCTTCTCTTTCATTCAGAAAGGCACTACTTCCTGGTTATTGTTCAAATTAAGTTTAAATTTTAAATTACGGATTTTAGTGTCATCTACTTATTAAGCCACCCTTTCTTATTTAACTACCTTTCTCCCTTATAATAGCTGGTTTTTATATTCCCTATTTTGTTCTTACAAATTTGCTAGCTTCCAAACTGAACATTAGCAACTCACCATGCTCAGATAGCCTCCTTCTCCCATGCTAAACTCTTCTCTTCACTCTCAGTGTTCTAGATATACTCTCTGTATAAAACTTTATCTTGTTAAACTCAACATGACTTACTGCCCATTGGACACTTGGAATATGCTTACTGATAAGCAAATAGTTTTGTTAAATGAAATGTTACATATTAAGTAAAATGATCACTTCAGTGTGTTTTCATTTCCAATATGTCTTAAATACGTACTTTGAAGGAATGTTTTTGCTATGATAATGCATCTAAGAGCAGAGCACTCAGTGACTAGACATCTCAGTATTTTTTCATGTTCTGTGATAAAATTTTGGCATAATTTACTGTTTTTTTTTTTTTTTAAATAAACAGATGATTTGACCAGTTGAAGTTAGGGCCGAAAATATATGCAAAGACACTGAGAGATAAATTCTTCTTACTAGTAGTCTCTGTAAAGTTTCTTCCATCTGCAGTCACCAGTCAACTAGACTTTCATTTTTCTAGTGCTAATGATATTATATAAAACATATATGTACGTATGTATATATGCACATGTATATACCCATATATATACAGATATAATAGACACACACACATATGTATGTATTGTTGTTGTTGTTGTTGTTAAGTGCCGTTGAGTCGTTTCCGACTCATAGCAACCCCATGCACAGCAGAACAAAACACTGCCCGATCCCGCGCCAGCCCCACAATCCCTGCTATACTTGAGCTCATCATTGCAGCCACCGTATCAATCCATCTCGTTGAAGACCTCCCCCTCTTTCGTCGACCCTCCACCCTACCAAGCA